CGCGGGGCTGGGGGACGCGAGGAAAGCGGGGCGAGGATGGTGGGTCGGGGCTTGGAGAACGGAGAATGACGGGGGCGGCGGCGGAGGCGAGCTGGCGGCCTCCGAGGCCTGAAGGCCGGTGTCGGGTAGGAAGGAGGTGGGATGCTCGCGGGGAGGCCTCGGGGTTCCCAGGCTGCGGGCGAGGAGGCCGGCCAGACCCCAGGGCTCTCCGCCGCCTTGGTGCAGTGCTTTATGCACCGCAGGCCTCGGTCGCCGCTGCTGTCTCGGTGTGCTCTGGGGCTGCAGGGAAGGGCAGGGGCTGGAGAAAGGGGATTGCTTGCAGGAAGCATAGTGGGAGTGCGAAAGGGGAGAAAGGGACCGGAGGGAAGATGCCGGATAGGTGGAGGAATGCCGGGGGTGGCCGTGGAGCAGTCTTGAGGATTCTGGGGGTGTTCATTGTGCAGATGTTAGGTGTTTCATTATGGAAAGAGCCGAACCGTTTCCAAGGCAAGGAAGGAAGGCATAGAGTAGTTTCTGCGGATATAAGGGAGGGCATTTGCAACTAGAGGAGTGCTAAATATTAGAGAAGATGCAGGGAATGCATAATAGAATAGACAGATGTAGCATAATTATCCAATGCTGGCCCAAGGTCTAAAGAGTTATTCCAGATGGGCCAGAGTGGCCTAGTTCGGAACCTGTTTGGGCTCTTCAGTAGATGACATCCGGTAAGTGTGGGTCCCCGCTGTGGTTGGGGTCATTGAGAATTAGTTACTTAGCTTGTAGATTGGTTTGAGACATTTTAGTGCCGCACTACTGAACTGAAAATCTTTGAAAGAGACCTTGAGAAACAGCCTGGCCTGTGGGGATTCTTGAGGCCACGGAGTTTAGAATTTTAGCAGATTTGGAGTATTGTCGCTTACCGGAGACTGGATGAACACGGTCCTGGCAGACACTGGAATAGGAATTACTTGGCCTGAGGTTTTCTTCTTCACTCCCTGGCTTCCATGGTTCCAGGAGAGCCGGTGCTGTATTTCAGCCTAGGTTGCAGGACACAAAATTATAATCGTTCGTGTTGAGAGTCGGTGCATTATAGTCCCGTCTTTGGAGGCTCTATTTGTAGCCCAAAGGAGTCTAGTTGGATTGGTTCTATACCTCGGGTTGGCGGGAGATCCTTTTCCATTCACAATTCCGGATGTACTTTGTCATCAAGGCATGGTGTTATTGAAGAAAATAACATCTGCCAGCAAAATGTAGGCGTGCAGAAGGGAGGCTGTATAATATCTGTGTTGATCTTAGGTTATAAGGAGGTCAAGAGTAGTTAGTTAATCATGATGTCTTAGGAAACTTGAGGTGACAGGATGAGTCTAGGTCTGTTGAGGAGGGACAGTTAGCATCTCTATGTCAGGAAACCAGGTTCTTTCTGTTGTATTTACTGAGTGCACGTTAGATCTGATTTTCAAGAAGGAACACTGGGTGAGGACAATGTCTTGGTGTCGGTCCCCCCCCCCCCCCCCAGGACAGGGTTTCTCTGTGTAGTTCTGGCTGTCCTGGAAACTCACTTTGTAAACTGGCCTCG